AGAGTGTGTTCATACTTTTGGAGAATCACTAGAATTTCTGTATGTATGCAGAAGTTTTGAAGAAAAGGGAAAGAGTTTTTAACAGCGTTTTGGAATAATTGAATGGGTTTTACTGTGATTTTCTTTATGTTACAAAATCTTAGACTTGCACGTTCCTATTATAGATAAAGCAATTATATTCTCTGTGAAGGAAACACTGAGATGATGATAGAAAGATAAACTAGTAAACATTGAAGAGTTTTATCCCTGGAATGACAGGAAGCCATTTAAGGAGAAAGATGTGATCAGATCAAACTTAAAAAGATGAAATTTAAGAATAACTCTGGTTAGGATGAAATATGGGCTGTAGTTCTGCAAGACGATGCGAAGAGGCCTGCAGAAAGATATTCACACCTGTTTTAAATGAACTCATGTTATTTTCTGTTACTTTGACTCGGAATCTTGGGAAACAACTTGGGATAAACCAACTTTTGATTAATAAAACTGGGACCACTTTGCATATACTTCTTAGGAGTTGTTAAAGTTCTTGTTGAATTTATTCAAGCTCAAGGACCTAAAATCGTAGTCCTGAAACTAGCTGGAGGAGCAAACTGTTTATTTAAAAAAAGTCACTTAAATGCTAGCTTTAGGGGCCTATTGTTAATGCCCTTTTCTTAGTCTTTTTCCCCATCTCCCAGAAAAGAATATATTTATTTTAACATTAGTGTGTGACATAGGCTTGATTTTATAGTATTATTGAAACAATGAACTTCATTGCAAAATACTAGGATAAGACCTCTGTGTAAACTTTTTAGTGCAGAAGATAGTAAATCTACGCATTGAGAAATAACGATCGCTGATACCTCTTTGAAGTTTCACTTTGGAAACCCAGCTTTTCAGACACTTGATATTGTACAGCCTGCTAAGAAATAGTGAGAAATAACTGCTTTGCTTGCCACATAGATCTGTCTGTAAGCTTGTGTTGCCTTTGAAGCAAGCATGAAATTCGCCTGTTCTTTTTCAGAATCCTGTAACTTTTTAATTACAAAGATAATTTATTAAAATGCTTTAACTTACCAATAGGACTACTTAAAATTTCAACATCAAATCTTTAAGCAATATTTGTTCTATATGATATGCTATGTTTATCCTGTTGCTAACTGTGTTCCTTGACACATTGTCATTTCCTTGGGCATATACCTTCCCCAGTGTGCAGAGACGATGTCTTCTGGGAAACTTTCCATCATGATAGGTAGAATCCTTTTCATGGGCTTCTCTAGCTGCTGAGCTTCCAGATGGATTTGAGTCAATGTTCCATTTATACCTGTAGTATAAGGCCTGGCCTTTAGTAAATGCTCAATAAATATTTGTTGAGGGGGGGACCCCTAATACATATTTATCTACAGCAAGTTATTAATATTTTACTGTGAGTACTCTGCATGCTCACCCATTTATTGTATTTCAGACTGATTTAAGGATTTTTCTCTTAAGCAGAGGAATCACATATTTTTATACAGTATAAGCTAATTTATTAGGTTGAGTAAAAATTTTCATAGTCTCTATTGGTAGCATAATCTTCCAGAAAGGTATTTGGTGATCAGGGTCCTATGAGTAACTGTACATACTTGTGATTCATTTTACTTCTTCGTATTTTTTCTGAATTCTGTTTATGTTCAGATAATCTTGTGGATCCTAAATTTTCTCAAGGTTTGAAGTGTAGCAGTTCAGTTTATAGTAGTTGATGCATAAAATTGCAAATAATCATTTGTGCTTATGGTTGGTTGAAGTTCTATATAAAACTCCTGTTGTTCAGCATCTATATATGAAAGAGCACCTAAGTGATGAGCTGCTATTCATATTCTTGTAAGTGCTTAATATAAATTCCCAATTTGTATTACAAATATACAAAACTTTGAAACTTCTTGTATTAAAAAAGCCTACTTTAATAATGGGCTTTTGGAGCTTTAAAAAGGTCAGAGTGTTTTGAGTCATTTCTGATCTGTTTTCCCTTTTTTAAGTGTCATTTCTTCATTCTCTGTAACGTTTTATAAGCTCTAATTGTTGAATATTCATGACAGAATATAGACTAAAAGTCTTAATTCTATAGTGCTCTTTTGTTTTATGATACGTGGAATAGTATAAGTGCCGTGTAAAGTGGTCTAGGAGACAGAAATTGTGGCTTTGGATATTGCCTGCGATTTAAGCAGCGTTGAGTTTTGGCAAGATGTTTAATCCACTGAACCTCCAGTTTACCAACCTCCATCTCATCGTGTAGTTGAGCAAAGATAAAATAAGATTAAAAAGTGTAAGAGCATGGCATAAAGTATAAAGTGTTATATGTACATAATAGGTCATTTATTATTGAAATGGATGATTAGATTTCCTCTTCCTCTTTACTCTTCTAAAAATTCATTCATCATGAAGAGTTACTTCAAGGACCCATTTCACCACATGAAAAGGGTGGTTCCTGCCCCTCCCAAAGCAGAAGCCAAAGCAAAGGCTTTGACTGCCAAGAAGGCAGTGCTGGAAGGCATCCACAGCCACAAAATAAAAGATCTACATGTCACTCGTCTTCTGGTGGCCCAAGACACTGTGGCTCTTAAGGAAGCCCAGATATCCTCAGAAGAGTGCCCCCAGGAGAAACAAGCTTGACCACTATGCCATCAAGTTTCCCCGACCACTGAGTTGGTTGTGAAGAAGGTAGAAGACCACAACACGCTTGTGTTCTTTGAAGATGTCAAGGCCATTAGGCACCAGCTTAAACAGGCTGTAAAGAAGCTCTGCGACATTGATGTGGCCAAAGTCAATACTGTGTTCGGGCCTGATGGAGGGAAGAAGGCACATGTTGGACAGGCTCTTGACTATGATGCTTTGGATGTTACCAACACAGTTAGGATCATCTGAACTGAGTCCAGCTGGCTAATTTTAAATATGTTTTTCACCAAAGAAAGAGTTTTAATGTATTTTCCAGAAATTATTTTTGACAGAATGAGCTTACATTTCCAGGACTTGGATTAATAATACAAGTTTTGGGAGGCGGGTTTAGTCTTATAATTAGTTTGTTTAGGCTAAGTTGGGTCAAGGTAGTGAATTCTCTGAACTTTTGAATTCTGTTGGAGAAGTCTATTATTAGAAACAAATACAGTAACCTCACTGGTTATTACTGTTTAAAAGATGAGAGCAGATATCTCTGGGCACTATCCAAGATTCAGGACCCTAAGAAGAAGGTGGCTTTTGCCTGTTCCCTTCTGGATCTGTCTAGAAAAGTATTGTGCTGGGACTCCGAGGCTCTGAAGAATTTGCAGAGTTGCAGGTCCACAGAAATTACCTCCCTCCTCCCCCTGCATTTAGTTTTCTATATTATGGGAAAAAAATGGAAAAATAATCTTAAATGTTTTACATTTAACTCTCATTATTATGAAATGTTTCTACCCGTCAGATAGTCAGTTGAATAAATACCTTTTTGTAGTTAGATGTTTTTTCTGTTACCCAATTGTTTATATTCAATAAGTTGCTTGAACAAAGTCACTACCTAGAGAGAAACATGTTTTAAGCAAAGCCATCTTTACAATTTTGTTTCCTTTTCTTCTTCCTTGTTTCATATCTTGTATTTTCTACATCCAATTCCAAAGAACAACTAGGGAAAGGGATACACTAATCAGTGGTCTCCTTTTCTCTTGATTAAGGCTTGTACCATGTCACAGTTAAAGGTTGGAGGAAGCATTCCTTTAGTTGGCAGTGCTGTTACTATTTGGTAGGTCAGCGCTACTCAAAGTGTGGGGTCCCATGCCAGTCTGCAGACTATTACCAGTCTGTGACAAGTACAGAATATGACACATTTTTACAAACTTTTCTTATAATTTTATGTTGCCATAACATTTAAATGCATTATTTTGTATTTTACAAAAATATTGGTCCATTACAGATTGGAAAAAGTCTTTTGTCATAGACAATTTAATAAACACTGAGCTAGATGACTTCATCAACTTCTAACACATCCAATCACAGTTGGGATGGGTGGGGAAAGTTAAATGACTTGCTGATGTAGCTGTAGTTGATTAGGTGCTCAGCTTTAGCAAAGCCCAGATGAATTTGTTTCCCAGGCATAAAATCAAGGATTATCCTAAGTATCAGTAATAATCATGATAGTTAAGTGAATCATGGCTTTTCATGTGGCTTCTGAATAACTTTTTGTTTTTTACTTGGAGTTGAAGTACCATCTGCTAAAGTTGAATAGTCTGGCAACTTTAACAGTGTTACATTTTTCCCTAGGAAGTTGTTGAATCATTTGAAAAATTTACTTGTGTTTCTCCCATATGTTGGTAAATTACATTCTTTATAGAATATAGTGGTCATTAAATATGGTCAAAGTTTAGTCTAACATGAGAGCATGAATAAGAAAGGTTAAGATCCACTGACAGTATTCACTAATTGTGAAAATTTGCCGTCTATATGTGACATTTTACTTTTGGATATTTTGATTGTTGCTGCCATAAAAAGGCTGTTGATGACATTAACATGATTGAACCATAA